TTTTTTCCATAGGACCGTGGCGAATTGTTCGCTTATCTTCCCTTCTCCTGTTGTGGTGGCGATTCTCCTCGAATATGACCGGACTATCCGAGTATCATGTTAATTGACCAACCCATAAGTAGTTGGTGAATTGACAGTCTCGTCAAATGCCTAGCCACATTGTTATGTCCCCCAGTTTTATGTGTGGGATTGAAGACAGGGGTGGTCATTCGCCACTGACGCTGAATGTGGTCGCCGAATACCTTAAAGTGGCTTCATAAATTATTGGTAATCTGAGTAGGGTTCAGTTTCTGTAATGTCTTAAGCCATCTCCCCGGGCGGTAGTTGAGCCGCTGGTTGATCTCTAGAGCACTCAATGTCCCCGCTTCGGGGCACTGCCTGGCACTCGGGAGCGGACTGACAGTGTCCTCGCAGTCCGTGTGCAATTTACCGTCTGAAATGTGACAGTGGCTTATAAGCGATTGTCAAGCGCGTTCGCTTGTGGCCTGCCTGGACGCCTTTGCGTAAGGTCACCTGCCGTGGCGAACCTAAGAGGCTCTTGAGGAACTGCGACCAGTGGAGACGTGCGTAAGCTGGTGTGCGTCTGTGCCCTCTCCAGAGGTTTAGGTCATAGCGTGTGGGCGGTCATCACGAGGGCCCAACAACCGCGAAGGCATATTACCTTGAAGGCAGTCCGCGTTGACAAAGGAATCATTGTCAACCTATTCTCTACTAGCTCTGTACAGAATGCACTATTCGTCCCACTTGGCGACCTACTTCTTCCCTTCCCACACGGTACCTGGTCTAAAGGTGGTAGCGGCGAGGGTTTTATACATTAACTTAGTTCACTGTGATACCAGCTCCACAACCCTTAGTATGACCGTGCTATATATGCTGTGGTGACTTCGGCGCTCTTACCCTCGCGCTTGCGTCCGGCTGCCAACTTCATCCAACCTGTTCTCCACTAGCTCTCTACAGAATATACTACTTGTCATGGCCCAACTCAATGGCGTGCGCACACAGCCCTGACGAAGCGTTCCCACGGCAAGCGACCGGTTCACTCACACACAATGCACGTGTTGACGCCGTGCAGCTGCCGCCGGTTGCTAACGCGCAAGCTGCGTGAGTCATATAGCCAATGAAGTTCCCCGTCTTCCTCCCACTTGGCGTCCTAATTCTTCTTTTCGGGCCTGAAAATTGCAGCAGCTAGGAGATAGGCCTAGTTTGCTAGTTAACCTGTTGGCTCAATAGCCTTCACTTCTGGCTTTCGGTATATAACATGCCCAAGTTTAGCCTTAAATAAAGTCGACCACCTGAAGTTAATTGTCTAAATCGTTTACATGCTTGAATTTTACCTCGTCTGGCGTGGAATAAAATGACCTTGCCTAAAGCCCTAAGAAAGGCGTGGTTCTTGCTGACAGAAAACTCAAGAGCGCGCCATCGCAGCCCTTTCGGGGTTACCCAGTTGAAGCCAGTCAGAGAATAAAAAGGTAGACAATGCATATTTGGTTCTTGTCACAAATTTGGCACTAGTTATCAATTACAGTCCCTAGTTATAGAAAAGTGACCAAAATTCCATCCACGCAGGCAGGCAAACGCAACTGACGGCCTATTTCAGTTGTGCTGTGAGACACCAGTTCATTCGCGAGTCCAAAGCTCGAACGCACTTACGCAGGGATTCCATGTGACAGGCGGAGAGAACGATTACGTTGCGTAAGCATCCACCGTGCAGAATTTTCGAGTAGACCTTGAGGTCGCAGAGGTAGCGAGAGCAGATGGCTTTCACGCGCCTGTCGTGGCTATCGAAGAGCATCTCCTCAATCTGGGCCATCTCAGGCAGGAAGAATCGACGCCGAAATTTCGGCTTTGCGGGCAGAACCGACTGACTAGCATCTGGCGTCTCGGCGTGAAGGCAGGCCAGAACAGTGTGCTTCCTCTGGTTCTGCGACAGTGGTGTTCCGAAGATGTTTACAGACTTCCTGGTGGGTTTTTCTGGACGTTGTTGACGCTTACGAGCGACCACGATAGGCCTCAAAGCCACGGGACCGGAGTTCTCTGAGAGGCTTCTTGGTCTGTAAACTTTCCCCTCGTTGGACCTATCGCGTCGAGTAGAAAAGTGTAAAAACGTTTGATTATGAAAAGTTCGGGGCACAGATTGCCCTCTTGACGCTGCCCTGTAGCCAATATGAGGTCCGTTTGGCGAGGACATCTTGCTTTCCTCATTTTTCATGTTGTTTGACATGGAGCTGACGGTTTGCCGA